CCCCACGCGCCCCGGGCGCCGTCCGCACAACTTCGGGCGGGTGGAGGAGGATTCCGGACGGGCGGCTCGGGGCCAGGAGTACGGAATACGAACCGGGCACGGCAGGGGAGGAGCCGCTCCTTCTCGACGACGAGGCGGCTGCACTCCGCGGTGCTCCTTCCACGCAGCCGGGTGCAACTGCCTTGAGCGCGGCCCCTCGACCCCGGCCGGCCCACTCCGCGCTGCTGCCCCGCCGGGCCGCCACCCTGCCCCGCCCGAACGTTCGGGCTGGAGAGCTTCCCGCCCCCCGATTGGCTGCGCACTGGCGAGTGGGCGGGGACGAGGAGAGCGGCCCGCGGCCGGGGGCGGGGGCGGAAGAACAGCGCGCTCCCCGCCAGCTTTGTGACGTCATGGGGGTCAGACAATCCCTTCCATTCGGCGCGCGCGGCCCATTGGCTCCGCGGGCCCGCCTCACGTGACCGCGCCCGTCGCCGGGTGGAAGGTGGGGTGAGCGGCGTTTGGGAGCCGGGGGAGGCGGGCCCGGGCGGAGGTGACGGCGTTGGCGGCGGTCCACGAGGGAGGAATCGCCTGGGTCAGCCCCAGCATCCCCACGGGTGCGGGGCCCCGGGCACCGACCACGCCCGCTGGCCGGCTTCCGCGAATCCTGGCACCGCGGCGGGGGAGTGGCCGTGCGCACAGGCGACCTGGCGGCCGAGCCTCCCCCGCGCGTCTCCGGATGGCCGGGCTTCGCAGGATAGGCTGCGGGGGCGGCTCCCAGCCCAGCGGGAAACTAACTGCGCTGCGTTTCGCCCCGGCCTGGAATATAAGGCGTGGCAGCCCGAGAGTGCCCGCAGCCTCTTTCATTTGATGCTTTGCGGACTTGAGGAGCGTTAACTCTGTTGTTAGCATTTTCTGGACACCTCTCAGGTCCCGAGGAGAGGGGCTGGTGTAAACAGCAGCAAGAGGAAGTTGTGATGAAGGAATTCTTTTCCCTGTAGAGAAGGTGTGTGCTCACGTTCTCTGAAGGGCTTTGAACTCACTATTGTCGCGTTTGCCCTGAATGGTTACAAGGAAAAAGGTAGAATGCAGCCTGCAGAAGTGGAAGGAGCACTGGACTTGGAGTCTGAGGATTTGCGTCCAAGTCATTTCCGCTCCATGAGACTCAGTTTCCGCCTTAGTGAGATGAGGTTAGGCTTGGGGTGGCGTTGCCATTATGTTGTTAGAAGACATCCCGAGGGCTTCTTCACTTGCCTCCATCCACACTTATCCCCTCTGTGTGGGAACTGAGTCGTAAAGGCTGAGACTTCTGAAAGCTTCCTCGAAGAGGTTATCAGGTAGATCATTGCACTTACCCTGCCTAGTGTCAAACAGTGAGTTTACTCTGATTTGTTAAGCATATCTGCTTACTAGCCAATAAAGTTCACAGAGTGATGTGGGCTGGATATAAAAAGTGTTATGTTAACAGTATTGTGGAATTTTATTTTTATTAATCTTGCATTATCTGATTTTTATGTAATAAAGGAAAAACTTAATAGACACAAAAGTGCCAGGAACTGGTTCTTCATAACTCCAGGGTCTTCCAGCCTCCTCCTCTGTTCTCTAAATTAGAGGAGAGCCTTTTTTTCCAGCCCCAGGCTGCCCCTGGAGCTTGTGGCTACTCTATGTGGCCTTCATCCCAGTTTACGCAGGTCCGTCTGCCTCACTTCAGCCCCTTCTTTTTACTTCCTAAATGAGCTTCGCATAAATTTGTGAGTGTTCATTGTCCTTTTTCCCCTTGAGTATCTGGTTTATGTATCTCGTTTTCTCTTGTCTCATAGAGGCAGGATAGGATGGTATGCCATAGTGAGGAATAGCGTAGCTGGAGCTAGACTGCCTGGGTTCCAGTCTCAGTTCTGCAGCTTGCTGTATGGTCTTGGGCAGCCTCTTCCTGGCTCAGTTCTGTCGTATGTAAGATAGGAATAAAAACAGTTGTAATTCACAGGGTAGTATTAAGTGAGTTGATATATATCCTGCTAAGAATGTACATAGCAGGTAGTAAGGGCTATATGTGTATTAGCTATTATTAACATTATAAATGTATTTCCAGGTCAGTTTGTCTTATTTAGATTTAGGATTCCTAGAAAGTAGGAGAGCCAGACCCCCAAGTGCAATATGTTCCAGTTAGATACTAATAAGTTTTAGTAGGCTGGAGAGTCTTAGAACCTTCGGATATCAGTTTAATTTACATGAGGAGTGTCACTACCTCTTAGCCCCTACTTTGCAGACATGGAGACCAGTTAACTGAAGCTAAGAGTGGATTTTCACAAGTTTCTGCCTGAGGACTCAGAAATGAAGTTTATACTAGGCTTGGGTGTTGTCTATAAACTTTTTCCTAATGATTGTGAAAATAGAGTAATGAGACTCCAGAAATGTATACATTCGTATCAATGATCTCTTCAAAGTTGTCACCTTGGTAGCATGTACCTTATGCCACACCAACATTGCCATTATTCAGAGCACTTTTAAAATTACCTTTTCAAATTGTTTTTGGATCTGCACAGGACACTCCAACTTGTTTTACTATAACCAGCACCTTGGTTTTTATACCAAAATAGCATTGATTCTCCCATATTATTATTCTTAGTTCTGAATGACCTGGCTATTTCTGAAAATAACACCCACTCTTAAAAAATTGGTATTTGCCACCACTAAATATAGTCACAAGAATTTGTCAGGAGTATTGAAAGCAATGCCAAGGTATTTCTGGCATCAGAATAAAGGCTCCCCAAAGTACTAGCTGTGAAATAAACTCATTTAGAGGTGTAAGTTTTGTTTTCTAGCTGCAAAGTTGTATGATTCAGTGATATGTATATTATAAACAAAGTCATAGTCCTTCTGCAGAGGAACCAACTGCTTGTACCCCTGGGGGAGATTCTTTAGTATCTCAACCTTGTCTCCCCTCCCAGCCTGGCTTTCTTCCTGTCTCTAGATAGAGCTCCATTTGGCCACTCAATAGGCTTGCTTCAAAGTGCTGTTTGTTATTACATGACCATATGGCCAGGGCAGGGGCAGGTCCTTGGGTTTGCTGCTCTGATTCCACCGACTGCCAGAACACCTGTTGACACTTCAACATTGGAAGATGTAGAAAAGTAGCCCTGAGACAACCCAGGATTGTTGTAGAGAGGGGATGGCCAGGAGAGAGGAAGGGTTTTCAAAAATAGTATGGTACAAAAAAAGTGCTATGCAAAAATACGTATTTTGTCTACATGTATGATTTCTGTGATACCAAAAATGCCAAGACACTTCCCTTCACACTTAGTCATTTTCTTGCCCTAGAATAAACCTGGAAATGAGCAAGTGCTTCATCAGATTGGCCTGGTATTCTTGTGGGTAGATGATAAAACCTTAAGGGTATTGGAGGTTAGCTGTTGGAACACAGAAATAGTCCAGCAGAGTCTCAGAGCCAGCCAGGAAGCTTAGAATAGACCTGCATGTGGCCTGAGGTGCTGTTGGCCCGAAGGTTAGTGCCTCACCATGGCTTTTGCCACATTCAGCAATCACAGGGAAGAGAGACTGGCTCACTACACTCCTCTTTAGCTCCTACAGCTTCCCTACAGGTCTTGGATAAGAAATCAGCAAGTAATTACTAAGTACCTAAGCAATAGGCACCTGTTTTATTACCATCCCAGGGTTGAGCGTTGCTTCTTTGAAATTAAGTTATTTGGAGTTATGCACTGAGATTGACGAATCATCTATAAGAAAGAAACAAAACATGTAATGGGGCTCATCTCTTGTGGGCCAGAGGTGGTTATAGTTGCTTTCACATTTGTCTCATTTAATATTTTAAAAGTAGTCTGTTCTCATCAGAATTTATGAGGCAATAGTGGATTTGAGAGGAGAAAAATAAAGCTTTATTCTCTTCAAAATTAGAGACAAAGGTCTCCTGGCTAGTAGGCAGGAAGTTTCTGTGCATTAATTTAATGTGATGAAGAATACGGAAAGTAGGTATCTGGAGTTGCTTAATTAGAGGTTCAAGGGCGTTTAGTAGAAGACTGTAGGTCTGTGAACCTGAGACTGCACATATTTTAAAAATCCCTATTAGTAGGGATATCTTCGGATACTAATGGTGACATGCATGGGGGGGGGGTCAGTATTATTGTCTAGCCATCAGACAATCTGGCAAGATTAGTTTTTCATTCAGTGTGATTCTGTAGGTGGATTTCCCAGAATAGAGAGGGTAAAGGGTGAAGGAAGGGCTTCAGGGGAACTGAGACGTTGGAGTGGATCTAGAGCTCTTTTCACAATAGGTGCCAGGTCATGAGTGCCTCTGGAGCAGATCAGGCTGATCTGCAGACTTCAGCAGAAGCTCCCACGCTCTGAACTTAAAAACAGTAGCTGCTGATTTGCACACGTCTTTTTTTTTTTTTTTTATTTTTTGTTTATTGCAGTAACATTGGTTTATAACATTGTATAAATTTTAGGTATACATCATTATACTTCTATTTCTGCATAAATTACATCATGTTCACCACCCAAATACTAAATACAACCCATCACCACACACCTGTGCCGAATTATCCCTTTCGCCCTCCCCCCTCCCCCCTTCCC